AGGAGTGAAGCCAAGGTGCGGAGGCCCCCTGAGGCCAGCCTCTTACCCAGAGCCCAGGGTCTCACAGCTCCCCTTTACAACGCGTTTGCAGAGCTCCTTCTGCAAGTCCTCCAGGCCACCACCTCGCTGCACTGAGAAGTACCTGACCATGCCTTCAGGACCCAGAGGCTCCTGTTGCGCAGCAGGTTCTCCACGTTCTCCAGCCGCCTCTGCAGTAGCCCGTACTCCTGCAGCAGGGTCTCCAGCACGGCCCACTTGCCCTCCAGCTGGTTCCCGAACTCCACGGCCATCTTCTCTCAGTCGCCCAGCTTCTTCTCGGCTGTTCCCGTGCGTCCCTCCAGGCTCTGTAGCTGGGCAGCCTGGGACTCCGTCTTCTTCTCCATGGCCTGAATAGCAGCCACGATGGCCAGGAGGGAGATCTTTGCAGAACGTTCTGGGCCTCTCCTGGAGGTCAATCCACAGATGCCAGTCCTGGAACCAGACACAAGTCCGTGAGTGGGCCACCAGAAGTAGAGTGGCCCAGAGCCATTCCCAGCTACAGGAAGGTCAGGATTCTCTGGAATCGGGGAGACATATTCTGAGTGCCAGAGAGCCTCACTGGCCAGACCCCCAAACTGACCCCACGTAATAGTCAAAGACAGCAGACACTGGACCCCCACAGAACCCCCATGAGAAGAGTCCTGAGCCAAGACCCAGGGCGAATGGAAAATGACATAACAAACACCACCTTCATAAACAGACAGAGAGTGGATCCCAGCTTTACCACTCACTGGCTCTATTAGCTCAGCCAGTTTCTCAACCAACCAGGGAACACAGCCAGCAGCAGGATCCAAGAAGTGGTGAGAAGCCCAAGTCCAGAATGCCTGCCAGGGGCCCTGGGGTCCAATGCACATCCAGGCAGCAACCTGAGTCCTCGCCTTCTTCTAGAACAAGCCCACACCCCTTAGTGGGCTCAGAGGGGAGAAAGGCCTGTTGTTCTGCCTTGGTGATCTCTAAGGCCCGTCCACCCTGACATCTACTGGTGTGACTTCCTGCCCTGCCTGACACCATGTCCACACGATCCAGGTGCCTTGTTGACCAGCCCCAGGGTGGTCTCCACCCTCCTAGCTGCCAGGCAACAGGGGCCAGAAAAAGTTAAAAGCAGAAAAGGAAAGAAGGAACCATTACAAGGAATAGGCTGTTCACCAGAGGTGGAAAGGTATTGTGTATTGCTGGGAATCAAATTTAAAATCCGGGAATCCCTTAGTGTGCAACAGCTGAGGTAGAAAGGGAGCACTCCTGGAGACGGAACTCACCTAGAACTTGATCCGTGAAGGCCGTGTTGCCTCCTCTGGGCTCCACTTCACTGTACCAGGAAGAGGCCAGACTTGAGGATGGTGAGCCATGCTGTAGGGGAAGGAAAGGGCCAGGTGTCTGGTGTCTAGTACCTGGTATGTGTGCTACACTTTGCTGAGTAGGTTTATTGGAGAGGTCTCTAAAAAACTCAGTTGCACAGAATTGGATTAATCACAGTCTGGTTCATAAAACACAGTCAGATCACTGGTCCACAGCCTTTACATTTGTTTTTAAGAATACAACATGTGCTAATGTCACACACCCTGAGTGCTCTTCCATCTCTTCAGTGCATTTCATCCACACAGCCACCTTAGGAGTGAAGGAAGTTAGGATGCCCCCATCAGTGAGAAAATAGAACCTTAGAGAAGTAATGTGGCCTTCACAGATTAGGGGCAAACATCCTCACCTCCCTGCAATGCCCTGCCACAAATGTGCCATGCGGAAATGAGTCCAAAACCACTGCAAAGCTATTTCTACTAGGAGATGACCCCTCTACTTCTAAAGACCTATGAAAATCTCAACAGCTCTTATGCAGGCCAGCGATGGCCTGGGTCAAGCCTGAGCCTGAAGCCCCTAACCAAAAGTCCTCACAATGCAGATCCCCTCAGCAGCAGCCAGAAAGACTTGGCAGGGAATTCTGGCATCAGAAGCCTCCTGAGTGGAACCAGAGCTCAGGTCCAGAGCCCACCTCACAGCCAGGAGCCAGACTCTGGCTCCAGCAGACTGCAGCGGACATCCCTCCCCAGGCCATGGCACTGATCTCAGCTTGGAGAGAGGATGGGAGCGGGATGGATCTTTCTCAGATGGTCGACTGGGTGTGTGTGTGGTGGGGCGGCGGGGGGTGGGGTGGGGGTGGGGGTGATTGCCAAAGGGGGGGTCCAGAAAGCAGAACCTTGGAGTCTGGAATGAAGATGTCCTAGGTCCACTGCCCCCACAGAACCGGGTCCAGCGGATATCAGGGCTGGAGGGAACCTCCAAATCTTGTGTTTAGGGCCAATCGCCTTATTCCACAGGTTAGGGAAACGGGGAAAGAGAAGGGAGTTTATCATTTGGCCCTAGGAGTCCTCCTCCTGCCACCCGGACTGAGCCCTCTTCAGTTCCAGGAGGTGACTGGGCTGGTGGGGGGTGGGATGTCCTGGCGAATTCAGGACTCGACTTTACGTCCCCACGCTTCCATGAGGGTCGCCCTTACTGGAGGCGCAGCTGCCTCAGCCATGGCCCTGTACTGGCCGGCCTGGGCAGGGAGTCGCCGCTGCCGTTGAGCGCGCGCGGCCCCACACGAGCCCAGCGGCGCAGTCCTCTCCGCTGACAGCTTCAGCCCTGCTTTTCCTGCACGGACCGACCTTCCGGGACCGCCGGGACTCGGGACACTGACAGAACGAGCCCGGGCAGCGGCTGTGCTCGAGGCCGAGAGGGTTACGACTGGGTCAGATCCCGGTCGACGGGGCTGGAGGCTCCGCCCCCGCTTGGCTGGGGCCAGCAACCCAGTGCGGACTTTCCTCGGCCAGCCTTGGAGACCCCGCCCTCACAGCGTGTGCCGGGGTTTGTGCGCGCCCAGCAGGTGTGAGCGCCCGGCCCGGGCTGGTGCCCAACAGCCTGCAGGTGTCGCCAGCTGCCACCGCCCCGCACGGCCATTCACCACCCAGAGGGCAGAAACCAGATCATGCGCACGCAGTCGTTTATGCCAATAAGTTTATTGATCACCAGTTAGGGCAAGGGACTTACACCTTCACAGTTCTCTTGGGCGTTTAACGTCGTGGCCCACCCATTTATTTCACAAATGAAGCCGAGGACCCCGCAGAGGGAGTTTGGGGCCCAAGCAAGTCTCCCACCGAGTCGGGGGCACCCTCAGCTCCTGCACCACAAAGCTTCGGTTGACTCATTTCAATGTAAAGAACGTTATTTAAACACCTCTGAGTGCTCAGCAAACTCACAAGGCCCAGCTCAAAGTTGGGCACACTGATATGAAAAAAAGAAAAAAGGAGAATCAGCACCTTGCGATATTTAAGGAGTGGCACCTGGCATTAGAAAAACAAGCCTAGTTCAGCAAAAATTTGGGGCGTAAAAATTTTTAAAAAAGAACAAGCCTAGAAACTCAGCAAAATTCTTAGCCTGAGATCTCCCCAGAACACCTGAGACTAGCTCCTGCAGCTGCACTTTCACCACATCCTGTCTGAGCTCCTGCTGACAGCCCACCTCTGACTCGTGAGGCTCCCAGCAAGGGCTGGGGGACTCCAGAGCAGACAAGCAGGATCCAAAGCGCAGAAGGGCAGCGCCTCTTCCCAGACCCAAGAAAACCTGGCTGAACTATCACTGACTTGTATACTTACCCTCCTCCCAGAGATGACAGCAATGCTACCATCAGCCCCCAGCTCTGCTCAAGACTTTGGGAGAAGAGTGAGGGTCAGAAGGGCAGGCAAGGAAGTGGTACAACCAGGGACCAAGGCCCCCAGAAGCAGCCCTAAAGGCTGGCCACTTCTCAGTGCCAGACAAGACAGTAAATTACAAGGATAGTCGGGGTCCCATCACTCCAGCTTCAGAGTCACCCGCACCCGGGCTGCTCTGCAGGCAGCACCCACAGTGGGGTGATGAGAGGCACCAGAACAGCTGACCTCAAGATGTCTCCATAAGACCTGATATTATTGCCTGAACTTCTACAGCCCGAGTCTCATGCTTTGGTAAGAATTTGTTCACTGAAATACAAAGGACTCCTGGGGAACAGAGCCCCGTGGGAGAGTCTTTCACTGAACCCAGTGGAATTGCCACTCACTCCAGAAGATAAAGGTCCTTCCTGAGGGATTCTGACTGGTGGGAAAAGGCTGGAATGGAGTAGAAAGGAGGTCCTGAATTCGAAAGGAAGCACAAAGCTAGGTTTCCTATTTGTCCCAGTGACTCTTAATTTGACCCTGACAACTCAGGTATAACACTGGAGCCGTGACTCCCTTTGACACAGAGGATCATGAAACTAGTGGTGACTGAAGGATTCACCCAGATCTCCTAGCCCAACTCTGCCCCAGAGCCCAAAGTGCTCAAAGGAGAACTCCTTTGAGAGGAGACAGCCCCTCCTTTAATGTGAAAAGCAGGCCTGGAGATCCAGGGTAAAGGTGGGCCTCAGCCAGACCAGGGGCCTCCTCTAGGGGAAGCGCTTCCTGGGCTCTCCCTGCATTGCCCCTCAGGGTGCCTTCTAGGGTCCAGTCAATACATCTTACACACCAGTGAACACTGAGCCCTTGGTGGGGGGGGCAAGTGTCGCCCACTCCAGGCTTCAGTTTCCCCTCCCAGCTGACAACAAAAGTAAATCACAGATATGACTATCCCATGGGGTAAGGACTAGGAATACTGGGAGTCACTCTGGGCAGAGAAACACACACCTAGGGAGACACTGTGCTTCCAAGACAGCAGCCAAAACATCCCCATCAAAACCCACAGGCTGCGCTGCGTGCAGGGGCTCACCCCTGTAATCCCAGCATTTCAGGAGGCCGAGGCAGGTGGATCACCTGAGGTCCAGCAATCAAGACCAGCCTGGACAACATGATGAAACCCCATCTCTACCAAAAACACAAAAATTAGCTGGGCGTGGTGGGGACTGCCTGTAATCCCCGCTACTCAGGAGGCTGAGGCAGGAGAATCACTTGAACCCAGGAGGCAGAGGTTGCAGTGAGCTGAGATTGCACCATTGCACTCCAGCCTGGGCAACAAAAGGGGAACTCCATTTCAGAAAAAAAAAATAGAACCACAGGCTGGTGGAAGCAGCTCCTCTTCCAGCCCTGCCAACTTCACAAAAGGCAAAGTTCCATTAGCAACTAAACACATTTACAAAAGCACTTGAAAGTCTGTGTGTTTCAAAGTAGCAAAGTAGAAGAATTTCCTTTCTTCAGGCCATCCATCCCCTCCACTGTTTCTCATGGTGACAGCAGGCAAGGGATCTCTGCACAAAACAAAAATCCCTGGTCCCCGATGTCTCTATCACCCTCATATTGGAAGGGCCATGATCTCTGGTCCTCTTGACTGTGGTACCTACCAGAGGCCCCATCAAAAATAAGGCATCCCTTAAGCCTTAAGGAATCTTTTACAAGTCAGGAATGCAGAAAAGGCAGCAAAGAGTGTAAACACGAAAGAGGAAACAAGGCACCTGGTCACACACACTGTCACCGAAAGGGTGGCTGCTTCCCATTTGAATGGGTAAAAACAACAAACCTCTCTCCAAACCATCCCAGGACAAGGAGGAACCTGCGTCAGGCACAGCGGGCAGGCCCTGCCAGGGGTCCCCTGTGGGCTTCTGCCTGGTCAGCCCTCCTCTGTGCGGCTAGGCCTGGGCACGGTGGGCAAGTGTGGGCGCGCCTGGCCTCGGGCATGGGTCTGCATGTGCACAGCCAGGTGGTGGTTCCGGTTGAAGGTCCGGCCACACTGGGGGCACTGGTAGGGCCGCTCGCCAGTGTGGATACGCTGGTGGCGGAAGAGGTCCGAGGGCCGGCGGAAGGTCTTGCCGCAGTAGGGGCAGGCAGGCCAGCCCTGGCCGCTGCCGGTGTGCAGGCGCTGGTGCAGCAGCAGGCTCTTGCGCTGCTGGAAGAAGCGCAGGCACTCACTGCAGTGGTACATCTTGCTGGCCACAGGCCGCCGCACCGCCAATGTGTGGCCCCCAGCCACCGAGCGGCAGTCCTTAGGGTCCTCTGGGAGCCAGCGAATGACAGGGCCGGGCACCACCACCTCCCCCGGCTCCAGCGTGTCCTGGCTTTCCCTGCAGCCGGTGAGCAAGTGGCCTGGGGCCTCCCGCCGCCCCTCCTCCACGTGGGTCCGCTGATGAATTGTCAGGTTGATCTTCAGGCGGAAGCTCTGCCCACAGTCGGGGCAGGGGAACGCCCGCTCCCGCCGGCGGGGGAGGATTCGGGACGTCTCCCCGCAGGGCCCCGGTGGCCGTGGCTCACCCGCCCGCGTGGACACGCCAAGGGCCTGATGACGGCTGGGGCCCTCACGCCTGTTCCTGGGCCCTCGGGGGGTTCTGCACTTGGTCTGGCTCGGCGATACCCCCAGAAAGAGCCGCTCAGGTGTCATCTCGTCTTCGGACTGTGCCTCTGTCTTGATGGCCATACCACCACCTGGCAAAAGGAGTCTACGTTGGTTTCCAAGAGGACCTCACCACCCTGTTCCCCAGGTCACTCCACCCAGTCCTGGCTTCCAGCCTCAGCCCAGGCACTGTCTCCCCACAGTGCTCACAGCACATTGCAGGGGTCCTGCTCACTGAGCCCCGCCACACAGGCACTGCCTCACACTGTCACTCAGTCCTGATTGTTGTCATCTGCCTCATTCCTGGAGGCCAAGCTAAGGACATGAGGGGAGGGGAGATCATGCTGCAAGGCCAGGAGCCAGGGAGCCGGGAGGTCAGGATCACCTGGAGTGAGACACAGAAGCAGAGATCCTGGACACAACAGAGAGGCTGGCAGGACCCCACCCCCAAGTGTTCTGATGACACTAGTTACCATCTGTGAAAGACAATGAGCCCTAGGGGCCCTGGCTGCCCCCAGACCACCCTAAGAGGCCTCTGTGGACTGGGGTGGTGACTGCCGCGCCTGTGCTCAGCTGCTCATCCACACAACAAATCTGCAGAGTGTCCGTGATCTGCCTGCACCACACTCACTGGTGACAGAGAGGAGGCATTAGGACCTGAGGCTCCTGCCTGGGTCTGTGTGGGTCTCACTCAACTTCCAGGTTGGATGGAGCCAAGGAGCTGCCAAGACAGCAGTGACAGGACAACTGAGGCAGTGGCAGGTGATCACAGCAATCTGCTGGAGACCTCGGACCCCAGGTCTCAGCACCTAACTCTCAGGGGTCCCTAATGTGAGGGAGAAAGGGTCCTGGCACAGCGCCCTCTCAGGGAAGCACAGACGCTATGCAGGGGAACACACACAGACTGCGGGCCTGAGGGGCTGGGATCCTGGCCACACCAAGACCATGTGAACAGCTTTTCCATCATTATCAGACCATGTGTGTAAGGTCTGATGCCTGGGTTTTCATGCAGTGCCTTTCCAGCCAAGCCAGACCAGACCACAATGGGGAAAGACCAGGAAGGACCGCAGACTGATCTGGGTCCCCACAGTCCCCAGGGAGACAGCAGCTGGAGAGGGAGGGAGGGAACCCTCAGGAGGAAGCCCCTTACCAGGTACCACCACCCAACCCCACCCCACTCCCAAAAGGCTCCCATGCTCCTGTGGGACTCTGCTGTGGCCACAGGTGCCTCTGCCCTTCTTCCCTGGCCCTGGGAGGTTTTCAGAAAGAGAGCGTTTATTGAGAAACAGCACCACGCTGGCACCACGCCAGGCACAGGACACACATTGTCCAGTGACCCTCATAAGAACCCTGGGAAGGCCCAACACACCCCTCTACCCCCTCCCCTCACTCTGCTGGACTGGTGTTTCCAGGCCGCCAAAACATGGAGGAACCCACCCCTCTATTGAGACTGTTTTCTCATGCTGAAAATGCCAAAACCTACCTTCTTTTAGGCCTGTCTCAAGGGCCCATTACCCAAAAAGCCTGTCCAGCCCAGCCCAAACACGTTCCCAGCCATCTCTCCCGTAACCACGCGCTGCCTTGGGACTCTGTTCATCCTGCCGTCTCGCGGTCCTCACTCACCTGCTCCCAGCCCGGCTGGGGCCGCTCTCGCCTCAGAGTCCCGCTGCTGCTTGGGGGTCTGCCCTTCTTTCAGCTCCTCCTGGGCAGGGCTAAGTGGGCTGGTGAGGTACTCTGGATATGGAGGGAGGCCTGGAGAAAGCAAATCAGTGACACTGAACACAACGCGGAGGTCTCCTGCCCAGGTGACCGGGGACCCTCTAGGGAAGGCTAATGGCAGAGTCACTGGGATCCTGGGGTCTCAGTTCCAGCACAGGGCATGATAATAAGGTGGACCCCACTGAACACCTGGCAGCTAGAGTCCAGTCTAAAGCCTCATGTCCCAGAGAAGGAAACTGCAGCACAGGAATTCAGCAGACAGGAATTCACGGTAATGATCGCCAGGCAGGTCATGACAGAATCTGGCATTTTAAGGCAGGAAAGAGAAACCCCATGCCTGTTCCTCCCCCTCCCCTTCCCATACCCTCCCCCTCCCCTCCCTTCCCCCTTTCCCCTTCCTCCTCCCCCTCCCTCCCTTCCTCTCCCCCTTCCCCTCCCCTTCTAAGGGCATAAGGGAGACCCAAGGCGGGGCAGAAACACAACTGAAGATATGGCTTTAGGAACATTGAAGCTTCTCCCTCAGTATTTGTCTTTCGAGCTAACTCCATCTCTAGTCTACTCCTTAGGGCCCAAGTCCACACACACGTTTACTCAGCGCCCACCTCCCCAGAGTGATCGTAACCAATCCAGCTGTTAGCAAGACTTTCAAACGGTAAAGCCCCAAAAAAATGAGCACGTGTCCTCTCACACAAGAAATGAAGCTCTTTTTTTTTTGAGACAGAGTCTTACTCTGTCACCCAGATTGGGGTGCAGTGGTGCGATCTCGGCTCACTGAAAACTCCACCTCCTGGGTTCAGACAATTCTCTGCCTCAGCCTCCCCAGTAGCTGGGATTACAGGCGCCTGCCACCACGCCCAGCTGGGATTACAGGCGCCTGCCACCACGCCCAGCTAATTTTTGTATTTTTAGTAGAGACAGGGTTTAACCATCTTGATCAGGCTGGTCTTGAACTCCTGACCTCATGATTCACCTGCCTCGGCCTCCCAAACTGCTAAGATTACAGGCATGAGTCACCACGACCAGCTGAAGCTCTGATTTTTTTAAGCAAAAAAAGATGATGAGAAAAAACTGATGACCAAAAGGCTAACAGTAAGAGAGTTGATGGAATGCTGCCATCAGAGATGAAATCAGCAAACGGCTCACATCGTTTGTCCACTTGATGCTAAGAGGGATTTGACATCAGATGGGCATCAGATCAGAAGGGAACAGACAAGAAACCCAGAATCATGGAAAGAGTGACTCTACCTCCAAAACCAGGTTTGAATTTACCACGTTGGATCTTCCTGAACTTAAGCCTCCAGAGAACAATACTTTGTCAGAGATTAAAAAAAAAAAAAAAGCCGGGTGTGGTAGCACGTGCCTTACTCCCCGCTACTTGGGAGGCTCTGGCAGGAGGATGGCTTGAGCCCAGGAGTCTGAGGCTGCAGTGAGCCATGATCGTGCCACTTACATTCCAACCTGGGCAACAGGGCCAGACCCTGTCTCAAATAAATAAATAAATAAATAACCCAAGTGGGGTCCTCTCTACCTCAACTGAGGTTCTCTTCTAAGAGAAGAGGTAAAACCAGCTAGAAGTTATCAAAAGGTGAAATAGTGGTGAAAAGTAATAATCCAATTGAGTCTATGCCTGCTAACAGTGCTACCAATCTCCCTTTCCATATGGGGGAGTTATACACCAACAAGTTACACTGCCCCTAAAAATGGTACTTTCATGACAAACCTAAAGATGGTTGCTTCATCAGCAGATCCAAAAAATTTCAGTGGATCATCCTCTGAAGTTTAATCTTTGGATCCTTCCTACAACAAAGAGAAACACATCATCCATCCTCCTAAACAGCCCCAAGCATCACAAGGTGGTGACTAAGCAAGATGAAGCTCAAAAAAGAATGAGAAACAGAATGGTCTAAGTGAAAATATGAATCCTAACTGTTTGTGACCCACTAAGAATTGAAAATGAGGTCAGGTGTGGTGGTTCACGCCCGTAATCCCAACACTTTGGGGGGCCGAGGCAGGAGAATTGCTTGAGCTCAGGAGTTTGAGACCAGTATAGGCAACATGGTGAAACCCTGTCTCTACAAAAAAAAAAAAAAAAAAAAAAAAAAAAAAAAAAAAAAAATTAAAATTAGCCTGGCATGGTGGTGCATGCCTGAAGTTCCAGCTATTCAGGGGGCTCAGGTGGGCCTTGGAAGTGGAGGCTGCAATGAGCTATGATTACACCACTCCAGCCTGACCAACAGAGCAAGACCCTGCCTAAAAGTTAAAAAAAAGTTAGGAATAATTTTTAAAATACTGGGAAGAAGAACTAGATTCTGTGCAGCTGGATTTGGGGGCGGCACTGGCAAAGCGGCAGCACACCCAGGATCAAGCAGCCTGCAAGCCAGCGGTGCTCCTAGTTGGGAAAGTCCTAGGCCTCTCCAAAAATGCCACTTCCATTGGTTCCAACAGGTGAAGACCTCACACAGCCCGCTGGCCCTCTATGCCCCCAGATGAATAAAGGGAAGCACAGGCCAAGAAAGGAAGTTCATTGAAGATTACTTTGAAAGAATGGCAGGAGAGATGGCAGCAATGTCTCCCAGCTGTTACAAGTGACTACACACAAGAGTATACCACTCAGAAGACAAAATAAAGAAAAAATAAATTTTAAAATAAATTTAAAAGTTCACCTGTGAAATGATGGGAATTAAAAAAAAAAAAAAAAAAAGAGTAGTCCAATGGTAGTGACAACCAGTGCCCCAAGAAGGCAGGCGTCAGCTACAGGGGGATGACAGAACTGGACTCCCAAAAACAGGCCAGACTCAGTGGCTCACACCTGTAATCCCAGCTATTTGGGAGACTGAGGCAGGAGAATCGCTTGAACCCAGGAGGTGGAGGTTGCAGTGAGCCAAGATTGTGCCATTGTACTCCAGCCTGGGCAACAAGAGAGAAACTCTGTCTCAAAAACAAACAAACAAAAACTGGACTGCTAAAGTTCCCGGGTTTCAGCTTGATAATCTACAAATCTTTTTTTTTTTTTTTTTTTTTTTTTTCAGAGACGGAGTCTTGCTCTGTCACCCAGGCTGGAATGCAGTGGCGTGATCTCAGTTCACTGCAAACTCTGCCTCCTGGGTTCAAGCAATTCTCCTGCTTCTCCCTCCCAAGTAGCTGGGATTACAGGTGCCCACTACCACACCCGGCTAATTTTTGTATTTTTAGTAAAGACAGGGTTTCATCATGTTGGCCAGGCTGGTCTCAAACTCCTGACCTTGTGATCCATCCACCTCGGCCTCCCAAAGTGCCACACCTGGCTAATTTTTGTATTTTTAGTAGAGACAGGGTTTCACCATGTTGGTCAGGCTGGTCTTGAACTCCTGACCTCATGATCTCCCCACCCTGGCCTCCCAAAGTGCTGGGATTACAGGCATAAGCCACTCTGCCTGGCCTTATTTTCTTTTTAAAGTGGACATATTCTGAATACAGGTTTCATTATGGGGGTCAGGAGGACAAATGTTTACTTTCATATTTTCTCTGTAAGTAAAAGGGCTGATATATTTTGAATAAAGAGTGGTTAAAAAAAAAAATGTGGGGGGGGGTGGGCAGTTGCAGTGACTCATGCTTATAATCCCAGCACTTTGGCAGGCCAAGGCAAGCAGATCACCTGAGGTCAGGAGTTCAAGACCAGCATGGCCAACGTGGTGAAACCCCATCTCTACTAAAAATACAAAAATTAGCCAGGTGTGGTGGTGCATGCCTGTAATCCCAGCTACTCAGGAGGCTGAGACAGAGAATTGCTTGAACCCAGGAGGTGGAGGTTGCAGCAAGCCAAGATTGTGCCACTGCACTGCAGCCTGGGCAACAGACCGAGACTCTGACTGACACACACACACACACACACACACACACACACACACACACACACATTCTGGCTCTTTAGGAACTCCTGGCTCAGAACACTACAATGCGGATTCCCAAGCCCAAATCCTGTACTAGGCTAGTATAGCAGCATCTCCTGGGGAGCACCTCTGGGAATCTCATCAATAGGTTCAGGGTGAGCCTAGTAAATATGCATTTTTTAAAAGATTCCCAGAGCAAAAATAATAATAATTCACAAAATAAGAAATTTAAATGGCCTTTAAACATATTTTTTAAAAATAGGGCCAGGTACAATGGCTGATGCCTGTAATGCCGCCACTTTGGGAGGCCAAAGCAGAGGATTGTTTGAGGTCAGGAGTTTGAGACCAGCCTGGGCAACACAGCAAGACCCTGTCTCTACAAAAATTTTAAAAATTACCAAGCATAGTGGCACATGCCTGTGGTCCCAGCTACTCAGGAGGTTGAGATGGGAAGACACTAGAGCCTAGGAGTTCAAGGCTGCAGTGAGCCATGATTGTGCAACTGCACTCCAGCCTGGGTGACAGAGTGACATCTTGCCTCAAAAGAAAGGGGAGAGGGAACAAAATGGTCGAACAGAACCCTCAGTGATTATCCCCCCAACTGGAATAATCCCCCAGTGATTATTGAATAGGAAATTCAATACTATTCACACAAGAAGCCACGTTCAAAAAAACCAAAAAGCAGATGAGCAGTCACAGTACTTGGTCGTAACATCATATGAAGGAAAGCAGCACTGAAGAGGGTAGAAAAGAGTCTTGAATTGCGGATACCAACCCTCCTCCATCCCCCGGCAACAGCCGTGTGGCACCAGAGAATGTGTGCTCTTCAGGGAGGAAAAGTGCAGTGACTGTGGGACTTTGCATCGGAACTCAGTGCTGCCCTGTCACAGCAGAAAGCAACACCAGGCATAACCTAGCTGGCACCCACCCACAGAGGGAGCATTTAGAACAGCCCTAGCCACAGACAGGCATGGTGGCTCACGCTTACAATCCCAGCACTTTAGTAGGTGGATCAACTTGAGGCCAGGAGTTCGAGACTGGCCTGGCCAACATGGCGAAACCCTGTCTCTACTAAAAATACAACACATTAGTCAGGCATGGTGGTGCATGCCTGTAGTCCAAGCAACTCAGGAGGCTGAGGCACGAGACTTGCTTGAGCCTGCA